GTTAGCCTCGTGGTTCGATGCTCTTTTTATTACTTGCCGAGTGTTTTGATGTTCTTTCTCTTTTATACCATAGTCAAACATAAAAACACATTTTCAACAGTAAGGTCCCTAAACTATGATACAACTGTAAGTTAACCCCAGAAAAAATGAGCGCTATTGAATGCGGGCAACTAATACCGCACTGTGCATATATATATATATATATATAAATGAGTGGCCCATAATTCTATATCTACAATTTATTTTCCATCATTCAGCGCTTCTTTGTTTTTACCTATAAGGTTATAAACAATATTTTATAAAATAGAAAACAATGTGAAACAGTGAAAACTAGGAATGCAATTTTGAAACAAAAACAAATCAAATTTTATGTTGCATTGTTAAAAACTGTTCACAAAATGATGTTACTCCATTACGATATTAAAGAATTATGAAGAACTTACTAGAGGCTTGAATAATAAATTTTCCATATGTAACTGAAAGCGCAATAATTCAATAAGGGCAATGATAATGAAATTGTTATCATCACAATTGTTGGATATCACAAAAGTTGGATTTCATTGCAAGAACTCCTTGTCGAATATAGATTTAAAATATAAGATTTTTATTTTCATTTGCGTACGGGAGCGTTGTATAGAGGAGAATGGTAATTTAACATGTACTGAATTTATAAATTTGATTTGCGTACGGAAGTGTTCTACTGGTGACAGTTAAGAATGGGAATTTTACAATACCAATAACAGCAAATAAGCTAAATAGCATATTTATTAAACCAATAACAACGCCTTATCAAGATAGCTTGTGTAGATGCTATTTTCGGTAAAAAAAATCTAGATATCTTAAAAGATATAAACAACGGATATACATAAACAATAAAAACATGTTCTTATCTAATGACAGTATGCATGTAAGAGGAGAAAAAAACTTTGCAAGTAATGTAAGTATTTTTGACGCAAAATGAATCAGCGATACATCCTTCTAACAACATAAATTAAATAAGAACATAGAAAATTGTCAACTTGTCATGTTTAATGCTTTTGATCGGTTGCTTTCCTCCTATTTCAGTTTTACATCTAAACAATTTATCATTCAAAGACTGGTTAGCAGTCGTCAGTTGTCAAACGTTTACGTCTACAAGAGTACTCAGATGTAATCAGCAAGTGATGTAACATTTGGTGTAACTTAATCTGTACGCTGTTTCCTAAACTCGTGTTGTTAGGAATACATTCATGTATGATTGTTTACGCTGTTAACTCTAGTTTGTTTTAAATACAATAAAATCAGCAGGTTTATTCTTTGACGTTATCTGTTATCTCTTAAAATAATTACAGAACAATTCTGTCTTTCGTGAATTAAGACGAGTCTATGTTGTATTCTGCATTTCTATCTCTGCTAAACTGTTTGATCGTCATTAATTTAAAATGGATAAATCAATACAGGAGAATAAATAAAATATAAAAGCATGCAATCTAAACCTAGATTGCAATTGTTCCATTATATCTTGTTTATTATTGTCTGAAAATAGACTTTGCAAATGTTAATTAGAATTAGAAATAAAAGAATGAAAATAATTTTAGCAACTGTAATTGATGAAAACATTTAGTTCTGTATTGATCAGTTCCATGAACAAATAATACATGTATTGTATTTCTCTTCAGAAGTTTTTGAGACGTAATACAGTGTCTTTATTCTTTTAGATGTTCTTTTGACTTTTATTTTGTATTTAAGATATTTTTAGTAATAAGTATAAGTAAAACTGAGCTTCTAAATGATGGATGTAAACGGATTCCTGTTCAAAGCAAATTCGTTATTGCTTTTTGTTCTTCACAGAATGGCATGCTCAAAATGCTACTTCCATTTCTATAGACATTGTAAATAGTTCTATGCCTAATTCAAGCAACAATGAAATGTACGTTTTATCTACTCGTTTAGTTTTGTGGAAGGAGAGCAGAAATTCCGTTTTCCAGTAAAAGTATTCATTTATAGATTTTTTTTATATTTATTTATCTATCTATTTATTGCATACGTATTTGTTGATTATCAACTGCTGCAATAAGATTTACACATCAACTAATTCACGGACATAATAGTCTATTAGTGACATACTAAACTTTTTTTCTTCTTGAAATATTTATACAAGATATTATATACTAAGTATGTTATAAAATAATAAAACATCTTGTTGGCGAGTCTATAATTTCAAACTATAACAAAAATCTCATTTACAAACAATTTAGTTTTTTAAATTGCACTTTCATATGTAGATGTAGAGATGTCTCGTATTTTACAATTTATCTCAATAATTTGTTATATTTAAGATTATATTATTATTCTGTTTCTATTTTTAATGATTTTGTAGATAAAACACTGACATACATATTACAGTACAGAAAAGTTAAATTGAATTTGTTTGACATAAGAATGAAATGAAAAAAAAATGAAAAATGCAAGGCGATAGAATCCACTTAACTTACAAAAACGTGAACAAACATTTGAAATGTTTAGGAAATCTTGTTGGCGATGTCTTTAATTTCAAACTATCACAGAAATCTCATCTGATGACAATTTCGGTTTTTAAAGTGCTCTTTGATATAAGATGCCGAGATGTCTCGTATTTTATATTGCATCTTACTTATTCGTTATGTGCTAGGTTTTATGTTTCTTTTCTGTACGAAATCTGCTGTGGTCATAGTATTATTTTTACAATAGGTTTATCTCTTAGATTTTGTTTGCTAAATTGCTAATCATGGTCATGCAACTACATAGTTAGGTAAAGAAGCAGGCGCTTGTTTTGGTTGAGTCTATTATGTTTTGTTTAGGGGGTTGAGTTGTCATACACAAATTTACAATTTATATGCATTTATTTTTTTCCAATGATTGTTATTATCTTAAATGCTTCTGGGAGTGTTGTTTTATCAATTCATTTGTAAATAAGATTGTTATATGTCTATTAATGGAATAATTTTAATGAACACGAAATTAGTTCACACCTACATGTGTATTGGTAACGTGATGGTTTAAGCCAATGAAAACACGTCAATATTATTATACTCAGGCAGAGAAAAAGTGTGCAAAGAATAAATCGATAATCTTTATGTAGCCAGCAAACTTTGAATTGCAAGTATTTTTTCATATCTTTTCGGCAGGATAAACTGTCCGAGGATTCGTATCGTAAAATGGCTGCCATTTACAGTATCAAGTGATTATCCCAAGCACCACCGCGACTTAGCGCGGGAATTTTAATTATAGCTAACCTCGGCGCGTATACCTTTTTCATATTTTATTGTAATAAATATTTACAAACTGTGTCTTTCGGTTTTTTTTATCAATATAATTATAACCAATAATGATGTTAATATGAATAAATAATCATATCTCAAATCTTTGACTATGATTTACAATGAAATTCTACCTTAAGTGTATTAAAAAGGTTTTTAATTTCCTGTAATTTTTTTGTGTGATTATGCTTCAAAGCAGTCAATTGACCGTGAATTTTCTTTTCATATTTTGATTTCCTTGAAATCATTTTTCTCATCTGAAGGCATGCAACTTTAAAATGGTGATACATTAATTACATTCCATGAAAATGTTTAAAGATATAAAATATCTCATGACATGTTTGTTCATTTAACATTACACCTTTAATTCAGCAAACATAAAGTCTTCAAAAAAGAAGTATGCAATCGTACCTATATTACATACGAATGTATGTAATATTTTTCTTGTTTGATTCATTCATGAGATAGGATATTGACTTACATATATTAGAAAATAAATGTTTATTTTATTTTGCCCCAGAATAAAACCAAAAAAACTGCAAAAAGCAAGGCGACAGAATGCACTTTATTTTTTAAAAAATGTGAACAAACGTTTAAAATGAAGAAAAATAAAATAACAGGCCTAGGATAATCTTGTCTAGTATCGTTGTACATTGCTAACATCTGTGTATCTAACTACATCCCGTGATCATCAATCATTACATCAGTGCTCATTTAAAATATTGTTGCTCATGTATCCCTTTACTTACCTTCTTACAGTGTGTCTAACTTATTCATTTCACTGAAATATTTTTGGTTAACATTTATAAATTCATTATGTATTTCTTTGTGAGGATGAGTTTATGAAAATATCTGGCGAATCTTCCAAAAATATGGCGAACCTATCAAAATTGTGGTCAAGTATGAAGACAATACATCAAGAACTTAAAAGGTTATGATGAAGGTACACGTTTGTGGACGGCAACGCCAAAGCGACTGTAACAATACTACAATGTTGTTTATTTATTTATTTATTTTTTTCAAAAAGAAGTCGAGCTAAAAATCTTGATGTGATGAAGGCGAATGAAAGATAAACAACTGAATATGTTCAAAGACTTTTGTTTAATATGAATTGTTTTACCTATTTGATTTACTTATTAAAGGTATGCCAAATTTTAATAATTCTATATCTACAATTTATTTTCCAACATTTTAGCGCTTCTCTGTTTTTACCTATAAAGTTATAAACTGTATTTTAAGGGGGTAGAAAACAATTTAAAACAGTGCATTCATGGAATGCAATTTTGAAACAAAAACAAATCAAGTTTTATGCTAAACTGTTCTACAATAACAAACATATGAATGATGTTATTCCATTACGATATTAAAGAATAATGAAGAACTACTCGACGCTTGAATAATAGAATTTCTGTATGAAATTGAATGCGCAATAATTCAATAAGTGCAAGAGATATTGGGATTTTTTTATCATCACAATAGTTGGATATCACAACAGTTGGAATTCAGTGCAAGAACTTCTGGTCGATACAGCAATGAACATTATGGATTTAAAATATAAAATTTTCATTTTCATTTGAGTACGGGAGTGTTGTATAGATTACAAAATACAGAGGAGAATGGCATTTTAACATGCACTGACTTTATAAATTTGATTTGCGTACGGAAGTGTTTTACTGGTGACAGTTAAGAAGGGAACTTTCATAAAATAACAATAATAGCAAATAAGCTAAATAACATATTTATTTAACCAATAACAACGCCTTATCAAGATAGCTTGTGTAGATGCTATTTTCGGTAAAAAAAACACAACAAAAACAAAAATCTAGATATCTAAAAAGACATAAACAACGAATTTGCATAAACAATTAAAGCATGTTCTTATGCATGTAAGAGGAAAAAGCTTAACACGTAATGTAATTATTTTTGACGCAAAATGAATCAGCGATGCATCCTTCTAACAACATAATTGAGTAAGAACATAGAAAATTGTCAACTTGTCATGTTTAATGCTTTTTGCCAATATGTTTTCCTACTATTTGAGTTTTACATCTAAACAATTTATCATTCAAAGACCGGTTAGCAGTCAATTGTCAAAGTTTTAGCCAGCGATGTAACATTTGTGGAAGTAGATTGGTCCTTCACTCAGTCATGGTGGGCTCACACAAGCTCAATGCCCATATCCCTATTTTATGTCTACTACATGTATGATTAAGGGTAAAACGTTTTTAAAGAAAGAAGAAATTAATGTTGTCATGGCAACGCCATTTATAATGTAGATATGAACCATGCAAGAAGACAAAAACACAGTTCGGCAACATTGGTTAAAGTATGAATACACTGCACGAAGCTTTTTTGTTTCAAGGGTTCAAAGTCCTCACGACACTGGTATTAATACAATATATGTTGATATTTTAGTGTTATTCTTGGATAAATAATTGTGTGTAAAGATAAATATATGCAGATCCAAATGAAATAAATTAGATTTAATTTAGGAACTAATATGGATCATCACAAAACCTGGACAAAAACAACTTTTAATAGATTTTGTCTGCTATTCCAGCTTTAGACTTTATATGCATATATAATTCTTTAAGAAATTCAAAGCATTTCACCCAAGCATATTGTCCATAGATCGCTTGCCTGTTATTCATTCTTATAAAAGGTCAAAATGCAGAAGTAAGTCATTGGGTAAATTTGGCTAATGTTTTTTGACAAAATGGCCATGATTTATGCCCATGTTTGAAAATGTGTTGTCTTCATAAGTAAATATAAAATCAGTGACCGCGAGGTGATGCTACATGCCTAATATCTAAGCTTTATACATTGATATTTATGGGTAAACAAGTAAATGTTAAGTTGTTAACTAAATGACCCAAAAGGCGAAGTCAATTGAGACCCTGGGCATGAATTTTTACAACTTTGAAGAGGTCTTATAGGCAATCCTAAATGTCATATCTAACTTTAGAAATGTAGTTTCCAAGACATTTACCTATATAACCTAAATTAAGCGACACATATGGTGGGGCCAATTTTGACCATGGAGACAATATTTATAGAAAATGACGCTATGACAAATATTATATTTAAGCTCTGTGCATAGGAGTTACTTACATACTTTTCTAAGATTTCATACTTTTAGTATAATAATTTTAACTCCTGTGACCTACTAATTCATCATAAGGAAACGTGTTTATTACAAAGAAAAGGGACATCCAAGGATCATTCCTGTAGCGTTTGGTAAAACGCTGCAAAGTTGTTTACAGAAATTTGGATAGCGAAGGACTATGGACGATGTCCGACGGACGACATACATCATGCTATCACAAAACCTCACCTAGGGATAAAACCCCTTACACGGATTTGATTTTGTTGAGGTTTAAGGTTGAGGCCATATGGCGACCTTCCGACTTGAACTAAACGTGACACTCTAAGTTTTTAAAGTTAAGTACGACAGAAAATCTAAGTACAATTGACCTTCTTCAATAATATTTAATGACTTTCTTAATGACAGAATTCAGCGTTCATATTTCAAATAGTTTCCAACCACCTGCGGTGTGGGACTGTCAGTAAATATACTCATGAAGAAATAGCGGGCAGAAAAACCTACTTTGATGATTACATGAGTACATGATTGAGAACATAAACACAGAACTAAAAATACAACACCCTGTTTTTTGCAACATCAAAGATACCAAAAACTAAAGCAGAGCATGTGTAAAATACCTGCATAAAAACTGCAATATTGTACGTGTACGAGCATGTATATAATAACAAAGAATGTTGGCGAAGACACGAGCAAGTGTAAATATCTGCTTACAAGTAATGCTGTATGTAATAGCAAACATTGATGATTGTTGAAAACAAAATCAAATCTGCGCGACCTCAATTAATGTTTGTGTAAGTAGTAAATAAAGATATATAGTGCATAAACAGGTCAGTAACATACGAAACAAAAACAGAAATGCAATATTTAAGAATGGCGAATGATGCATATATGGTAATTCAAAATGGAAAATCATGTGATGTAAAATAAATATTCATAAACGCGTCATCACTCAAATTACCATAGATCAATACAACTAGTGATAGAGAACCAAATTAGGAATTATATTCAAGCTCATAAATTCTTATTCTTATTAACTTTAGCTCGTGAAGTATTGCAGGAAGACAAGTCTGACAGTTTTTGTTCTACATAGCTAAAGAACAACTGTCAAAATTATGAAGCAAGAGCATATGTTTGGTTTCAAAGCAGAAACAAGCAAGTGGTCCCATATCTGTAATAATCCCTCTCTCAATGTTCTCAATGTAAGTTATAATAGCCATTTTAAAACAAGTTTAAGCCATTTTGATTGGAAGCTTGGACCCAGAGTTTTCAACCATATCTACTTCATCAACTCGTCAAGACGTTTGGAAAACAAGCGTTTTATTGTCGGAGTGTGTATTAACGATTGGTTTCTGGCTGCCGGCATTCAACTCACTGCTACAATTTTCAAATGTTTTTGAGAATTTTGCCATATCGGAGCATACACAATCGAACGACTTCACTTTGTTGTCATCAAACGAATTCTGTTTTGTCGTCTGCTCGGTTTCAGGTGACTTGGATCGATTTATTTTAAGCGGTTCGTAACCCATCCAGACCATGTCTCCTCTTGGTACCCACACGAAGTCCATTGCTCGCATTTGATTTACCAATTCAGAGTCATTTGTTGGAATAAAGCCATAAGCAACTTCCTTCTTACTAAGACGCGCACGTGCTAGGTCAGACAGTACAATTTTGAAATATTCTTTGTCACGGTGTTCTGGTTTAACATACAGCATTGCTATAGAACCATTAAACTGCATACAAGCGTATGCAAGAAGATCGCCGTTGGAGTCACGAAGGCAACTACTCTCATAATTTTCTATAACTGCCCGGAAGTAACCTTCAAGATCGTCACGGTACCTGAATCCCTCCCAGTCACGTTTAAGTGTCACAGCATCTTCAGGAAGAAGTTTACCGAGAACAAGTCCTTCTGGTACCCTACAATAGACAAAGGTATGGATTTTAAGAAATATTTCTATCAGATTATATGACCATTATTGTTGCCCCTACGTTTTCATATTGAACAGGATAAGCTTAAGTGTACTCCGGGGGAGAAGGTCTCTTCCCGGTGCACAACTTTTACAGAAGTCGTTTATGGCAATGCAACGTGACAAATATCTAGGTTCTAGGCATTGTTATTTCTGATGAGGAGTTTTTTTTATTTTGTTTTCTACAAATAAATGTAAAAGAGGCACATTTTAACGACAGAGTTATAATAACAAAATACATTTTCTATTTCTATATTTTTCATATATCTTAGGTATTCAACATAAGTTTTCACTGATTTTGCAATTTTGTTAAATTAGAAGGTAATCATTTAGTTTATACAGAATTTACTTAAGTTCGGTCGTGCAGGAACCTATAAGCTTATAAACGCACTTTCGAATCCGTTCCTGGAACCAACCAGTACTGAGCAATGAGTGCAAAGTTTCTTGCTCAAGGAAACAGCGACTTGCTCCTGACAGGGTTTAAAATCCATGCGACTAGCGATCATATGATTACTAGTCCGGAGCGTTAACCACTCCGCCTTGCCACCGAAAGATAATAATTTTCCATCACATGGCACCTATTACTGAAAATGCTTGAAAATTTACTGCTTAAAAAGGCTTAATAGCTGGGCAAATAATTGTAGTGTAAAAGGGAGTTAGACTCACGGCTGTTTTGGTGGCAGCTCCTCTTTGGTCCAAGCATACATAAACCTTGGTTCGAGCGTAGTTATACGTCCCATATGTTTGTTACACATTGCTGATATAACTGGTGCGACATCACGTGGTACACCTGAAATCCAAGTTTTCATTTTACAATCATAAAAAAATCAATTTTAAAAAGTGTCTGATTTTATACAAATACCTGACCTTAAACGCAGTTATGCTTTGATATATAACATGTATGTTTGAGCACAAATAAACACAGAAAATTCAAAGGAAATGTTGACTGGTATGTTTTCACGCAGTACAAATAAATCGAATCTGCCCGAGTTCTTGTATAGATACAATACACAAGTCTTCAGTAGGGAACTTTAACTTTAATAATATTAAAAATTACATTAGTGACAGTCAGAAGACAGCAAGGAAATGAGTTGCATATCATAGACATATATAAATAGACATACAAGTGTGACAGACGCAAAGTGGACTAGAGCGTCGCATTAATTTGGCTGTTAATTATGTCATGTCTAAAAGCTAGGCCACGTCAACATACAAACCAGACTAAACTTGTAACTATGCAATATTACCCTCGTCAGCAAATATATCAGTCTAAGGGCATAAGACTACATTTTGTGTTCTTTATTTCAATGTTGAAAGACAAAAAAGACAAGAGACTAAATACATGTTAAAGTGAAGTAACATATATACAACACACTTATAACATGATAAAAGAACTGAAAAATATGAAGTTCTTTCGACTTTACAACGAATCATATATAATGTCACTAAAATGCAAGCGAATTCAAAATTAAAATCAATGCAAATATAAATATATGGAAAAGGGGAGATCCCTTGCAAGTAATGAAAACAACAAAATATTATAAATATTGGAGACTCGGTTTGATCGAGTCTGTTCATGTGAGATAGTATAAAAGTATAACATTCCTTATGCCCCTAAGTACCGACAAAAGCGATACTTAATATCAAAAATTAAAAATGCTAGAATCAATGAATTGTGAGGACCAGGGAAAAAACAACAACACTGAAGTGAAGTACGGGCTGTCACGAAGTATAAATATCTAGAAAAGTGAACTCTAAAAACTGGAAAAAGGTTGATCCCTCGGAAGTCTTATTTTTTATGTTACAACTTTTATCATGAATTTCCAGTCAACGAAAACAAATGGAAATTTATCTGAGAAACCAATTCCTTTTATTCATTGACATACAGTAACTAGATCTATAGAGCAATATCTCCATAAAATAACTAACAATTTAAAATTCTAATAGCTCAATGATATACTGTCTCATTACGCTAAGGTTACACTTTCTATGTAATATAACTGCATTTAAATAGAAGATCTAGATGTTTTATTTCGATCATGTTGCATAGCAATGCGTGTTATATTGAAATTAAAGTAGAAATTCTGATATAGTAGGAGAAATTTTACGAAGGATTGGTCGTCTGTAATGATTTTTATGTTACAGTGAATTAAGTGGGCGTGATAAAAAAAGTTTTCCGATGAAATGCCATATGTCGTCTGTATACGTGGACATCATCATCATTATATAAGATTAACAAGAATATGTGATTTTATACATGTACATATGTAAATGTATAATTTTTTTACAGACATTTAAACTAACTGGTCTATGTTTGAAATAATTGAATGACACTATGTGTCAGGAAAACGTACTTTCTTTAGGTGTATGACTTAGTGCTGCTACAGAATGAAAGCTAAACAAATAACAAATTAAGCAACCTCATCCAAAAATGCAAACTATATTGTTAAAAAATATATACGTTCATTTGGTTCAATTGCTGCATTAGCATTTACATATAAAAATGTAGTTAAATTTAAATTCTGAGATGACATAAAACTTGATAAATAATAATGAATCACGCACTGAGCAAAAAGAACTATTTGTAAATAAAAAAAAAGATATCCTTAATATTCATTATTCACAAATGTTCAAAATTCCGAGAAAACTAAACAAAAGACTAGGCACTTATTTCTTTTAATTATTGACCGTCACCATTTCTCAACATACTTTAGAACTGACCTGTAAATGTTGCAGGTTTTCTCCAATTTACGACATCTGGCCTCTGGAGGAAGTACTTGAGCGCGCTCGTGCTACGCGCGTGACACATGTAAGTATGGCGGAAAAATGGTTGTGCCTGAGAATAATGAAAAAACAAGTTGGTTTGAGATGTTTATATGTTAACATTTATTATCCATTGAATACAGCAGTGTCTTTCAAATAGAATCTTTTTAAAGGCCCCGAATACATATAAATAAGCAGATACCTATAGTGAACAATTAATATATTTATATAAAATTTATAAAAAAAATAAGACAACTCTTTCATCAGTTTAATTTTAATGTTTATATGATTGATTTGTTGTACAATGTGTTCTTATTTGATATTTTATATAATATAGTAAACATTTGAAACAAAAACCTTGGTAATGGTGGGCTTAATGTTTGCATATGCCACCAGGTTATAACCCGACAAGCTATCACAAATGTTTGGACTGATTATTCTTTCTATTGTAGGCAAATTTAGTGTATTATTTTGATAATAGGTTTTATAATGCCTACCTTTTCCTCCGAGCATGTCCGCACGACAACGGATGACCATTCTGGCCAGCTGTCTACTATAACTTCCTTTCCTGGTAGAAGACCCGCAAGAAAACTCCTGATTACATAGAAAATCTGAAAAGATAGAGAAAAAAAAGATAGAAAACAAGATAAGAACAAATCAAACATTGACATCTCCATACCTAACATATACAAAGAAAACCTGAATATAACAAGTATTAAAGCCTTTTAAAATATTATTTATTTATTTGTTCGTTCGTTCAATCGTTCATTCGTTCGTTCATTCATTCATTCATTCATTCATTCATTCATTCATTCATTCATTCATTCATTTCATTCATTCATTCATTCATTCATTCATTCATGCATGCGTGCATGTATTTATTTATTTATTTACTTATTTCATTTTTGTTAGGTTTTAAGTCGCACCAACTCTCCAGGGAAGACCTCAGATACTCTTCCGTGTATTATTTCAGGTACGAACGGGCACCTGAGTAGTACAACCGAACGGTCTCTTCTTAGACAGATCTAAACTTTCAAAGAATTTGAACTTAATATCGATCTTCGCTGATGACATTGTTTGGTCTAGGAGATTTTTTACAATGCACATTTAAATTCATGTGCAGTTTTCATTCTGACAGTATTTATTAAGAAATCGGATATAAAAAAACCACTCAGCATAAACTACGCAATTTACAGCAGAACAATTATATTTTCTGAATACAATCAGTTGTAACATATCCTGTGCAGTTAATTGCAAAACAATTATCTGACATACGTGATATAAACAACATGGTACAAAGATACAAACCATACATAAACCATTGTTAATAAACATAACACAAGATTAGAAAAATATTGGCCTGCTTCTTGGAAATAACGGACATTTTCTGTTGTTCAAGTGGGTTTCATAAAGTGCACTGTATTTACAAAGGAAGAGACAAATTGAATAAGATAATAGTTTTCCTAAAATTTAATTACGTGAAGAAGTAATACATCAATTCCGAGGACTAGAATTATAACATTTAGAGGAAATGTCGCTAAGGCCTTTAAATGCAGTAAAAATAAAGTAGAAACAAGATTTATATTAGTTTCAAAGCAGCATGCCTCCAGATTCATGCTAATTTTCCTGAAAATTTTGAAAATGTATTTAAAAGTAAAATATTGTTAAGTGAACAAAGAAAATAATTTACACATTGCAAACGGCACGTACAATCCACGTAAATTATCAAAATTATGTCAAAATATACATAAATATCTCTTTCTGCGTTAGTAACGCAGTAGAATTATATTGATTGATACTGCAAAATAAGTCATTAATCACACATAACATGTAAATAATTAAATATTGAATCTTTTTACTTTTCTTAAGATCGTTAAACATTTTCTAAAGATTAAATTTCTTGAAATATTTCGCTCATCTGGAGGCGTGCAGCTTTAAAACAAGATAGAGACGAATATGGCCGTGCGGTGTACACATCAAAACTGCCTTGATTACATTTTTACAAAATTTACAACTTAAGCCTCAAGATAACCGAGTTTTTTACAATCCATTACAAGTGTTGATACGAGATAAAGATGCTATTAATAGCAGAGAAACTCTCGTGATATTGAGGATAATAAATCCTTAAAAGGTTTTCAGTGTGTGTTTTTAGATATCATAATATGGCATGACTACACCGATTTCGTCTAAAAGCCATTTTAAAGATAGCTTAGACTTTGATTACAAATAATTGTTTTGATAATTACGTTATGTTTTATTTAAACATGAGCTATGTGTTGTGGATTTGATTTTAAGGAAGTTATATTTCTAAAGCTACCCTCCCATGTACTTTCACTAACCAGTTTCAGCTGACAATGTGAACATATCCGCTCCGACAACAGGCACGTAACTTTAAAAAATAAGGGGGAATTACATATTGAGAAGGTCAAGATGTTGTACTTATTCACACATGCATTTTTTTACATATTATATGACATTAATTGGTTATAATTGGCTATGAATACCAGCAAAATGTAAATGCATACTTAACTTCCTTGTTCATGTGTTAACTTCATGAGTCAATGTTAAGTGCGTTTTTCGTAGAATCGTGCAGCAAAATATTTATTGAAAATAGAGACAGGGTTTATACTCTTATAACTTTCATTGAGACATTCATATTTCAAATATTGATATTTTAACGATTGTTGTAAAGGTCAAAGTCAACAAGCGGTTCTTATATAATATTTAATAAGATAAACTGACATTTTTAAAATCGATGAATGGTATTAAGTACCGGAGTGCAGCAAAAGCTTTTACGCTAAAATCGGTCACTGACCAATATATTTAATGACCACAACACGAGTTGGTAGTCTGATCTTCTAATGTCAAGTTAGCTATAAAAATACTACAAATAAGACCAAACAACGAGCGTTTCCAGAACATCGAATGGCTTTCAATTTTCGATACAGAATATCTGTTTTGTATCTGAAGATGATGTAAACGTTAGTGTTATGTGACGGACAACATTTCATATAATTTTGTAAACTGATAAAGACAGTATTTATATCAATATTTGTACAACGACAAAATATACAAACTATTACATATATAGTACTGAATAATGTAACATCTTATTTTGACTACAATGTATACAACATAATAAGTGCAGTAAATATAACGAATATTTAAGTTGCAAACTAGGCATGTCAGTTATATTAATATAGATTCTTTTGGGCAAATTAGAGCGTTAATAATTTGCTAAAATACCTGGATAATTTCCAAGTGGTTTAAACGCGTACAATTAAATATGGGGTAGTACGTCATAGCACAAAGTGAGAATCTTACATAAGGCAAAATAAGAAACGTTTATCGTAATATTGCTTATTTGATCATACACAAATCCTATTATGGAATACTTTCTTCCGACTGACAGTCACGTATCCATATAGTTTCACATAGTTTCAAAATGTTAACAGTTCAAAAAGGAAGTATACAGCGATATCAGGAGTTCAAGTTTAAAATTTGTATTTTATCAGTATATCATGCAAGTCCGTGGCAACCTAGCAATTTTTACATGTATGTAAACTGTTTATTATCTTTGTTAGTATCAGGAAGAACTCTCTCTCTCTGCAATACCTAATGTGTCGTCTGGCTTACTATGAATATGATATATACATAATCGCCGACATTAACTTTTTAAAACAAAGTAACGATTATTAATAAATATAAAAGCGATTTGTATCATCAACTTGCAGTTCTCATGTCTTGCGTATCTCATGATCCCTAATATGAAATCGGCAAGTCAATTTGAAACCGGAAACAGAACTTGCATAAGACACCGGGTTACTACCAGCCACAGGTGGTGTAGAGATAATTAATGAAACGTATATCCCGTACCGGTCAGTAACTGGCTCTGTAACGATTATACATGTATATGACGATTCTGGCGCAATTTGGAATGCTTATCTTGCAAAATATTCTAGTAGCCTAATATAGAAAATACATTAGCAGTTAAATACTCATTAATTGATCATTTTCTACATGGTCCGTGACTTTCTGTAGTTTTTTTCTTTTTTCAATCATTTTCCGAAAACTATTTATTTTTTTTATTTACAAATTATAGTTGATAACGAAGTAAGACAAAATACTACAATAAATGAATAAATAAAATATATGCTGTTAAAGCAATTTTTACTTGTACTCGTCATGCCCCGTACATATCTTGTCTTTTATTGATACCGCGTCATTTGTGTGTACAAATGTTTTCAACCCCTAATATATGGTTATCAGCATTCAATATCTAATTTAATAAAACTTCATTCACGGCCTGATTCTTCTGATTAATTACACGGTAAGGACATGCCGCCTGCTTGACTTACCATCCCTTTTTATGACTGTCAACATTACCATGTTTAACAACGGTTCCTGGATCAATGATTTTCAGAATGTTTGATCTAAATATCAACTAAAGTATTCAAAATATCTAAGCGTAAATATGAAAATATAACTAGCATCTTAAAACGTTTCATTTATCGTTTATTTGTTATTTTACTAATATATTATATATTTTAGCTCAAGAACTTTGTAATGGTGACTTTGACGTCTGATGTTAAATCTATCGTTGTATTATCTATTTTTTGAATATTTAGGCATGCTGTCACTGGTGTTAATTTGTATGATAACGGAACTACTATACGGGTCTATTTTTTATAAAAACAGAAATACAATAATAGTCACACACGCTTGGTTGACCCCTGTAGTTTTTTCTCATCATCTTGTCATCAATAAAAATGAAAGTTCATCGTCCAAGGACATTCATCTTTCACCGTGACACGATGTGAAGCATGACTTTCGGTAATTTACTTCTTTAACTGAAGTCCAAACCCAACGCATTTTATACCTAACTCATATTCGAGTACTAATTAGCACGGGAACCTGGACTACTACAACTGTTAAATTATATCGAAGTGCGTCATGCACTGTACTGAGGAAGGTGATATTGGTTAAATAGAAAGAAATAAGAATCCCTAAAGAAAGTCCAACAAGACAAACTATAAAATGTTGCAGGCTCGGTTTGATTGATAAACAAGCAGCAGTAATATTTTGCTATAAATAACATATAATTTTCGTTCATTTCAGTTCTCACTCAAGAACCATTTCCGAAAAGGAGCAAACACGTTGCAATGTTGCATGTAGTCATGCTAACTTACTTTACTGTTTTGATTTCAATAAATTATCTCACTGTCCAACGCAGTGTTAGTTTAGATGGTTCTAGTTCTTAGCGTTATTAATTATTATTTTTATGGACAGTTTTGACCAACCAACCCACGAAGCGCCCTCTAGCAAAATAAAATGAAAACTTCATTTTCTAAATATATGGACCATTAATTTCTAGGGAACGCTAAGAACTAGAACCATCTAAACTAACACTGCGTTGGACAGTGAGATAATTTATTGAAATCAAAACAGTTATCAAAACATAGAAAATCGGTCTGGAACAGAAATACATGACGAAATTGAATATTTCATCTTACTTCTTTACTGTAAATGTTGATAATCTGTATTTCTATTAATTAACTAATTAGCAACAGGATTCCGACAATAATTGTTTAAGATAATATCTATTGTAATTTGTCAATTTGTAAGTACATGTATGTATGAATTGTTTTTTTTTTTTTTTTTTTTTTTTGTATTGATGTGTATTGATGTTTTACTAAAAGTATAAATGTTTCAGATAACCGCTTTACGCTGTATACTATAGGCTGTATATAAAGGCTGAGATACAGCTCGTGTGTTGCATCCTTATGGTTTGCCTAAACACTTAGTAACCTGCCCTCCACGACTGTGTCGCAGTGTCTTTGTAAATCGAAGAACAGCCAAAGAACACTCGTATGTGTTCTCCGCTAAAGTTATTGAACGTTTGAAGTGAACGTGTTCCCTCTCTACATGTTACATATCTTAGTATTTGGACTTTTCAATCTAGACACATTCCAAGTTGGATAAAAAATCGGTATTTTGTCATTAATTCCTAACTACCAACATGGCTTTAAAATATTAACGCAGAATGAGTACTTTCCTACATATTATATTAGTTATAAGGCAAGAAGCAATCATCTCATCTATACTCTATCTTATACATGGAGATAGAGTACATATCTTTACTTTCATCAGTTTCATAAATAACTCATTACAATTAATTGAATTTGTCTAGGTAGTACATGCATGCGACTAATTAAGATACAGACAGTCACGTGACCTTTATGTACATATGATGTTGACTTTGTGTTGAAGTTACATACTGCAGAAAATGAATATACATGTATAAGATTAAAACAACAAAAAACTACGCATTTTCTTATACTGAGCATGTAAAGTATAAAACTTGTAATATTAAATCATAAATTTAATCTCGAATCACCGTGTATTATTTTGTATATCCGGCAGACATGTGCAATAATGACGACAAGTCTATGCAATATCGAAAGGAATAAAATAACACATACGGCTAATAAGACATTATATTAAATCAGAGAACCATTACAAATATTTTAATGAAAGTTATTTCTTATTTAAACCATTCATGAGAATGACAATCAGGCTACCGCATTGATGGCGACTTGTGTGCTTTGGTCGTTATTCACTAACTAGTACAATTACGCGTACAAAAATATATGTCGTTGATTTTCGTATTTTTGTATACCCGAGACATTTACCCATATATTGTGTCATATGAAACTCAAAGAAAGCAGATACAATGTGATTAAGAGACGTGTTATGAAGATATAAGTGCTGTCTCGGTTCATCATTCACAAAATCAGCGACACCATATAAAAGTGTCTCGGTCACATTCATTTTGTCTGCTTATTATAAGACGAGTAGCATGTAGCATGGAAAATGTCTCGGGTATACCGAATAAAATAAAGGAAAAAAAGAAAGAAAAAAAAACGTAATATAGGCGTTACTGTTTGTATATCGGCAAATTACATAAATTTCGTTTACATCCATATGGTCGTCACGTTTTCGCTTCAAAAGTAATCATCATCCTAGAAATCTTTTTAAGAAAATATAGTATAAATGCATAAAGTTTTAGCATTTTATACGCTAACAGTTTCTTTCAATTTGGCTGACTCCAAGATATATTAGTCTGTTTGCATACCAAGTTGCTCTTCTCAGTTATATATTTCGAAGTGCACTGATTCGTCGTTACTATTGCACTATTCATAGGCCTGTGTTACGAGTATTGGACGAACAATCTCTAAGTAAAATACCGGAAATTGCTTTAAAATACATGTAAATGAACACTAGTTTAAACATAGTTTATTTCAAACAATGATAATACATTTACAATAAGTATATACACGAATGAAAAAGGATTAGAGCCGAAAGCTATAAAGCTTATAAAGGTCTTCTCCTATATATTTGTATTATGACAGTATTTACAATATTGTTTGAAACAATTAAGTTAATTTTTAACATATTTGGAATAAAAAATCGAAGATTAAGCAAGTGAAACTAGCTATTGTTTGAAAGATCTTATTTTTAAGAATAAAATTAATTGAATAGAATGAGAAAGAAGGTAAAGAAAATTCATTTGGATAGATCAAGTTATTAATATTATAGATATTATAATTATATCAAATATTATAGATCAAATTATTTTGTGAAACTAATCTCATGGAAATCGGTTACTTTCACGTATATATACATGAGCTGCTTGAACAATTTTAGAATTAATATCATGGCTGGTCTCGTGAAGTGTTATAGTACATATGTTAGAAACAGCATCAAATAGTCTGAGTCTGATATCATTATAGAAGTGACACTCAAGGAAGAAGTGGTGGTTACTTTCCAGGAGTCCACATTGACAATTTGGTCACCATTGTAAATTTCATGGATAAGGGCCTGGTATCTTAAAGTCACACAGATGTGTGGCGGTTTTCCGGCTCTAGAAAGTATATAGTGGAGGTGTTATTTCTACTCTAATATAACGCAATGTTAAAATTCCTTGCATTTCGGATAGAGAAAAAAAGGAATCCCCTAAAAGGATCAGAAACGGAAACATTGAAAATGTTACAGACTCGGTTTAATGTAGGAAACCTTCCTGGTGTGAGAAAAAGAATTAAACGTTTGTAACGGGCTTTGGAAGACGATTTAATTATAATAACAACTTTACCAACTAAGTTTTGCAGACCCATGGAAATGGGGGGAAGGAATTAAGTACCAGTAACACATTTGAACATTAGGATATTCACTATGCACTAGACACTAGATCACAGTGTTATTGCCACTAAGGGAAGCCGTTGCTTAGATGTCCAGGTGTCTACCTCAACCGAGGGATCATGGATTCGAGCCTTACTCGGGATGCGGCCATGTTTCGTCATATGTGGATACCAGTACTGTACTAGAGAATGGATCAAGTAAGCTACGTCCGGGCAAAAGACATTTTTCACTAAGGGAAAACGATGAGATAGGATCAAACTTCTGTCATATTGTCGTAGCGTTTGAACTTTACCAACATGAGAAACTAGTAAACTAACCTATACCACGCTAAATATCTTAAACAAATTGTCCATTTCCAATCTAAAAAAAAAACTAATATTCATTTCATAAGAAATTTTCAAAACAGGCACACAATGTTTCGGCTGAACTTGGTCTGCACTGGTCGCATGGCCGGGTAAATTTAGTTGCCGACCATAAGACAGGGTCTTTCAAATAGATTATATTTGAAAACCCTGCATAAGGTTAATGTATGTGTTCAAACAAATATAATTCATGTTTTCTACAAGAAGTAGTATTTAATAAAATACCTTTGCTGTTCCAGGTAAACGGTTTTCCAGTTCTTTCTTCAACTCTTCAACTTCATCTTGTGTTAAGGTTTTGTATATCATTCCCTTTTGTCAACGTTTATCTGTTTAAATCCACGTTTAAGAATAAACTATAAGTTAAAACTATGTTTTAATGAGTAACGATAACTTAGTATTAACTTGACATGCCTTACTTTTCGTTAACCCGTTTTTAAGTTCACACTATATCTATAATATTGTTTATGTCCACGAGTGCACGAAAAGTTGTGAAATATCGTTAAGATAGAGTTTGTGTTGACTGTTTAATGAAAATCGATTCCTCCTCTATTCACCGATTTTATGCGTTTATCATGCATTTTCCATTTAACGTATCGCTGAAGATATAGTAGGTTTAGTTGTGTATATAGTACGTAAACACGTGAATGGGGAATGACATGAAGTAACACGATTGGTCAATTCTTTATTTACCTTTTTTGGACGAGTCTACCTAAATAATAAACGGGGTGTGTCAAAAAGTTAAACATAAATATTCCCTCTACATTTGCTTTACTCTGTATTACTTAAACCCAAAAGTGTTTAATATTTTTTAAACAAAACTTATCATAATATCATCGGTACTAGTTCGGCATGTATTATAACGTTTCCGATTGTTCAACACTCACCTTTACCGATACTTGTATAATGACCGACATATTTAGTCGGTGAAATTATCACTGTTGTGTATATGCTTCGGTGAAATGCTTAAAACTCCGGTTTATCAACGACATTATGAGCAAGGAAATATTGCTAGTAATGATACAGTTGCGTTAAGATACAAATTTCTAATGCTATCTCATTATTTATTATGTAATTTAACTTTCTAAGTTTAGCTATTGGACTGATCAATATAAATACATTGTTGCAGCAAACGTATCGTGGTCACGATTAGTGTCGCAGTATATTTACAGTGATTGATTATTTACGGGCCACTGGCTACTATAATACCATTCATTTGATGCATGGTCAGCCATATCACGTGAGTCCGGTATAAGTTACTAACAGGTAGAAAGTTGTATGAACTGGATTTCTGCCGAACAATTGCTCACATTGATCCGCCAATTTACTCCCTTTATTCAAGTTAATGTTTGTAAAAGTACATAAAAATACAATGTTTCCACAACTTTAATGATAAAGAAATATACATAAAATTAATGAAAAAAAACTACAAGTTAAATTTAGCCTACCAAAATTCCTTCTAGGGCAACAGTTAACTTGTAAAGACACTTATAAACAGGAGTAAAAGAAGCAGAGCCGGAAGCTGATTTATCTTTTTTTATTGATATAGCTTAGTACAAAATTGTAGGCATAAATGTTGCTGATGTCATATCATCATTTATTTCTTATATCTCTCAGTGTGAAATTGCACTCAAAACTATTTGACAATAACAACCCATGGTCGCTTTTGTTTTCATTAAATCGGTAAAACATTAACAACAGTACGCTATTTGCTTTAACTTTGAAACGAGCTATAACTGACCGGACAATTTCATCTTTAAATTTACTATAGTTCCAAAGTCCAAATACACTATACGTTTCTTCCCCTTACACTACTGATAAAACAGGGACGTGCATGGGAGCACTATGTAACAAAAGGAAACGAGGAAATATTATTCAAACAAGCAAGAATGACATTTATAGTTGAGATAAAATGTATGATGAGGAATTATATATTTTCATTAATTTTGTTTTGATTAATATTTGAAATACGTATGTAGACCAATCGGTACTCAAAAGAAAACTTAAGTATCTTGTTTTACATTTTAATATTACTGCTAAAACTGTAGCCAAAAATGCAAGCAGAGGATTGGGTCTTGTTATTGCAAAATGTAATATGGTCGGTTCCTCTCTAAGTTTTTTCACCAAACTATATGACTCTATTGTCTGTCTGGATTGTGATAAGTTATGGCTCCTCTTCTGTAAGGAATTAATCATTGAGTAAGGCCAATATAACGGAATCTACTTTCAATGAATATAACGACAATGTTGAACTGAAAGATATATCTACAGAATAGGTGCCAAAACCTGCTACAAAATTTAAATAGAAGATGTTTTAGTTTGTGTAAATAAGATGTCTCTTGTAATTCTATATAGAAAATGGCTGTATACTTATGAAAGTGATATTATCTTACTAAGTATAAAATGTATACATATAAGGCTGAAATAGATTTTAAAACTTTGAATTTGCTAAGTAAACCTTTTTAAGAGCCTATTGCCTGGCAGACGATATACTTCTTAAGAATTACCATGTGAAATTAAGGGAAGTAAATCTGCAGTATTAACTTACTGTCATATGGTCTGTAGAGTTGCCTCCCTTTGACAGTCTTTTTCTGTGAAGACATGCATAGATTATAGATAGATATATCTGCAGTATATATACACATTAACTTACTGTCATATGGTCTGTAGAGTTGCCTCCCTTTGACAGTCTTTTTCTGTGAAGACATGCATAGATTATAGATAGATATATCTGCAGTACATATACACATTAACTTACTGTCATATGGTCTGTAGAGTTGCCTCCCTTTGACAGTCTTTTTCATAGATTATAGATAGATATATCAAGCAATCAATCAATAAATACCTTATAAATGAATAAAATGAATAAATATATGAAAATATAATAAGTAAGTAAGTAAATAAAAGAACCAATCAATCAAATTAAGAAATAAATATTATCGTAAATAAATAAAAAAATAGTATTTTCAATAAATAATTCAAAATTTATATATTAATTTTAATCAATTGACTAAGCAATTAATTGATGAGAGGTCACTTTATTCAGTCATAACGTTTAAATAGAGTAAAACAGAATCCCTAAAGAAATTCCAACACAACAAAATTGAAAATGTTGCAGGCTCGGTTTGATTGAGCCTGTTCATGGACGGTACTGGAAAGTGCAAGTTACCGTCCACGCCTCCTAGCACCGGCTTAAGCAAAATTCAACATTTAAAACGAAAAGGGTGAAATTTTGAGTTTAGAGACATCCGAAGATGTGTTCATACGGCGGTTATCATGGAACCTTCAATGTGACACAGTAGTGCCATTCCATGAAAAGCGGTATATGGTTCCCAAGTAAAAGAATGCTTTTGCCCTAAACGAGAAAACAATGGGCGGAACTAAATAAAATGGAATTTTGAAATGGGATCTGAGGTTATAAAGCCTGCATATCACAGATAAGACGTCAAAAGACAAATTTAAAAAGCAGGCAACATATCCTAAAGCTGATTATACAGTATTCAAGTAGGAATACTTGAACCACCCAAGTTGAAAATGGCCAAAAATAAGAAACTAAAAGTACCACATAACATGTTTCCATAACAATAATGTTGTGCCGAACGATCTTCAAGGATCGAAACTTTAACATCATTGATTAAACGTACGGGGAGACATTTTAAAGTTAACAATTAGCTAAGGGTGTCGAAATTGTGAACGTTTGCAGTAGCTATTAAATTGCCTTACTCATTTCATTTTCATAAATATGGTGTCTAATGCCATATTTTGTACCTTGTCAAATGTGGACATTATAAATTCAAGTTCCTCTAACAGTTTATTATGTGGCAAGTATGTTCTGCTGACTTATATTAACTTTAAAATAGCAATGAATTTTTCTTTTAATCAAAAGTCGTTTGTCGTTCGCATACTTTTGGTGTTTTAAGCAAAGCTTGTAAAACGAATGGTCACTAGTGTATGTCCACGAATTTAACTTTGTTTATTGAATAGAATATGGCATGTATATTTGTTCTCTTGTTCCTCCTTGACCAGAGTAAATGATAAGGTTTTTTAACTCGCCAATATATATAAATGTGCAAGATACCAAGGGACATTACTTATCATTTCTTGTAAACATTATCTTTCTTTCGTGTCAATCGTAAAATTGACTTTTCATTTTTGAACATAATTTATCACTCGTGGACATGGTTTATCACTCATTTACATTGCTTATCACTCGTAGATATGGTTTAGCACTCGTTTACATTGCTTATCACTCGTGGGCATGTTTTATCATTCGTGAACATGGCTTATGAAGCATTGCCATTGCTAATCACTTGTGGACATGGTTTATCATTCGTAAACATGGCTAATCAATCATGACCAATGCTAATCAGGATGTATGACTCGTGGACATGGCTTATCACTCGAAGCCATGCCATATGACTTTACACTCATGACCATTTCTTATCACTCTTGGACATGGCTAACCATTCATGACCACTGCTTATCATTCATGGACATGGTTTATCATTCATATACATGGGTTATCAATCATTGCTCTTGCTAATCACTCGTGGACAGGGCTTATCATTCTTGGACATGACTAATTCACTCGTTGATATTTATAATCACACGTGGACATGTCACATGGCTTAACACTCATAACCATTGCTTATCACTCTTGAACATGGCTTACCCTTTGTAAGCTCAGTTAATCACTCGGGGATATTGTTTATCTCCTGTGAATATGACTAGTCCCTCGTGGGCTCAGTTTAGCACTCGTTAACGTTATTTTAACTTGAAAAACATGGCTAGTTACTAATAAACATATAATTCATTGATTACAGCCCTCAAAAACAACTTGTCACTTGACAAATCTACAGATACTCTGAACTTTATTTTACCTGGCTTTGTAAATATAGTTTCCATGCCCAGAGATATTTGAAAGTACCATCTTTTTCAAACTATAAATTTATTTCCAAACCTGATTGGTACTATGTGCCTATTTTAATAAACTTTTGTTACATTTATGGAAATGGAGATATAACTAACATTCAGATTTTTTTCAGATGTATGTGTATGTCTGAGCATACTAGTATTGAAAAAGAACAACATCATTTCATCTAAATACCTTTAATATTTTGATTAATTTTATATTAACATTTCTCTGTGAACAATTTTCATCATCTTTTTCACGTTATAATATGCACAACAAGAGAACAAAAACAGAGTCAAGAAAATAAAATTATAGGTGTCGACTGTCATGTATGACAAATAAATTTCGTTAATATCTTTATTCCTGTTTTTTTTTATTACAAAGTATTCAATGCTATTCATACATAAATGCAAAACCTTTTTTAACGATATCCTTCCTTTAATACATATATAAACCAATATAAAAGTATAACCCCCTTATAATAATGTTAACATAATTGTATACAAAACAATCTAGTTCGATGTACATAATTCCCTTTGCAATCTTTATTCCTTAACCAAGAATAATAAGCTTTTACTACAAGTATAACGTCAGGTCAGGCTCAGAGTCTGTAGTCACATGACTAACTTGACTCTATACTGTTAGTAGTTTTTTACCGCATTTTTATATTTTGGAATCCCTAAAACATTAAATGGACTGTTCCAAATTCAAAGCACGGCAAATCCATTACAACAATTCGGCATTATTTCCTTTTTTAACAGTGTATCCAAGCAAAAGAGCAGTAGCGGTGATATAACAAGACAAATACTGGTCATTAAAGCAATATTTTGGGAATAAAAGAAGCATGTTTAATTATCTCATGTTAGGTGATACAGATATCAGGATTAACGTAAATAGTATATATTTATAAGTCAAACAATAAACAATAAAGAAAAATACTATAGCAACATTTTTATGGTTTTCATTTGGGGAAAAAATCAACAAAAAACAACAATTGGATTTCAATAACACATTACAGCAAATAATTAACAAATTAATGATACAATTTTATCTGATTAGTTAATATACATAATAACTGTGTAGGGTATGAATGTGTTCCAAATAATTAAAGGCACGTTTATAAATAGGACGGTACATTTACATTGTGGTATAAACTTCAAGATTCATAGCTTAGTTGCTGTAGTTAATCACAATATCACTGGTGACAAAAAGAAGAATGATGATAATGATGATGTTGATGATAAGGTTGATAATAATGATGATGTTGATGATTATTATGATGATAATTGTGATGATGATGGTGATGATGAAGATGATGATGCTGCTGCTGATGATGATGATGATGTCGATGATGATAATGATGATGACAATGATGATAATGATGATCTTGGGGTTAACAATTTATTCAGCACTGCTGATGTTCACAAATTTAAATGATGAGGATTTCGATGATTTAAGTGCATGTGTACAAACAAACAATTCCTCTCAAAATGTAAAAACTCTTATTAGTTTATCATTAGAAATAAATTTCTATGGGTAAACTACATTCCTCGAAAGTACGTCGATCACTTGTATTGAATTAATCTCCCCACTTATAATACTCGATTTTGCCCAAATTGTGTTTAATTGTTCAATAATATGCCCTGATTCACAATGATGGCTGAATAAATATTATATATATATATATGTATACTTGCAGACATTTTTTTCTGTACTTTCATCTTGTGGTATGAGCATTATTATTATCATATTCATTTCATACCACACAATGAAATCATAGAAAACATAACTTGAATATCCTTTATTTATGTATTTTCCAGCTGGGTATTGGCAGGACACTGTAAATAACTACAGAATGTACACATTACTAGTATACCTTTGCTTGATATATGTCAACTAAATGTACATGGAGGAACTTACAATAATCAAAATTTCTAAATACAACTGGGTGAACTTTTGATTAATTTACATCATGACTAAACGTCAAAATTTATAAATTGCACATGAGAAATTTTTTGCATGTTTAAAATTATCTACTTACAAGGAATTTGATATTCTACATGTTCATATAACATCATACATGTAATCAAACGAAATGAATAAATACCAAATAATGCTTCAATTACACAACATACTGTATAAAATTATTATTATGGCTTTAAACAATTTCATGATGAAGTATAAGATATGAATAACAGAACAATATTTTTGTGTAATTGTCATTATTTCCGAAGATCCGCCCTCCCAGGTGTAACTGTACAAAGTTAGTGTATGGAATGTATATAAATGAGTATTTTATTATACAGTTTAACCTCTCAAAAGCAACACCCTTTTGGAGACAAATATTTTGTTTGTTGCTTAGAGCTTACTGGAGTTGTTCTACACAGGTAAATTGAATAAAGAGGTTATTGCTCTCCAGAGGGTCGCTCAATAAGGGTTACACTGTATCTAGGATATTTCAATCAACATAAAGCTAGACTTAGTCCTAATGATGAGATAAATCTGGCAAGACAGATAAGAAAAATCCCTCTTCCAATAATAAATATATAAATAATGCAGGGAAATTTTGGTAAACAATGGTCAATTCTTTAAATGGCATATACGTATTTTATGTGTAATAATAGGTGTGTTTAATAAATCATATTAAACATGGTGGAGCCTAACTGCAGATATGTGTTGTAAATGATATGAATATAAAAACTAAATTATCTGGTTCCCACTGTGATATCTTCTGAATCCCACTACCGCATTTGTTGTCGGTTCCATTTCGCCATCTGCATTTCAATTTGCTCTATCAAGCGTCCTGTAAAACTTGTCAACAGCATCTAAAATGTGAGACAAATAATTGGATGATAGAAAACTGAAGAAGTCTACTGAAATATTATATGTATGTATACGAAGCTACAGATTATATACTGATAACATTAAAAGAGAAATGTACATTCTACTGTATTGTACCACGAGATGCACATGTTACCAAGCAGAACGCTTGAAGTATCCGAAGCTATAATCAGTGATAATTGATAGTGTATTTATAAACAGTTGAACTTGTCAACAAATCAACCAACGATAGTGTAAAAATGTTTATTCCGACAGACGGTCGTTACTAACAACTAAATTGCATTGCAAGTTAGAAGTCTAAAGGCAAAATAAAATCATGGTCCTTTTCAGGCGTTTTGTCGACTTTAAAAAACTATATAATATGGTCACGAGTGAGTCCAGTGCAATATAAGAAGAATATGTGGATACAACCAATCACACTTCAAATAAAATCTGACACAAACATTTATCTCATGCTAAAGAGGACATAAAAACAATGATTCAGTATTTAGGAATGAAAATGAGTTAAGTGAAACGTTTGTTTAAAATCACAGACATGTTATATTTGAAGGTCCAGTGAAATATGTTGTAGTTTGTTAAATATTTGAATTGTGGTTGTTTCCCTTTAATTAGTTTTGTTGAAAGCTAACCTATAAACCTATTATTTTTAAGATATGTATCGGACAGGTGAAAAAATCATTTTCGACCGGGTTGATATCACCCACAGAAATCCATCCTATCAAAGACAACGATATTCTCGTCCGAAAAAGAAGCAGTCAGAAAGGCCTAAAAAGAAATACATTGTGTTTGGCAAACGGACTCTCCGCTGACCCTGACGTTTTAATGGTGATTATTTACTTCAAAATCCGTATTCGTCAGAGTTTTACTCTAGAACGGACTAAAAGAATCAATCCCTACCATTCCAATATTGTTAGTCTGTCACAGATTTTTGTTTGATTTTGATCCGATATCAATTATAATCAGGGGAAATTATTGTCCAATCGACAACTTTTACTTGATGATATCATTGAGCTATACAATAAAAGTCATTGATGACATCAGTTCCTACCATAACAATTTATCACGACGAATCACACAATAGCTAATTAATCACACGTGACTATCACTTCAGGAATAACACGTGACTATCATTTGAGAAAGCTCATGTGACTATCACGTGGTGAATCACGCGTAACTATCACTTGACAAATCTCACGTGACCATCACGCGACAAATCACACATTTCTATCACTTACCTGCGGTATAAGAATTCCTATGATAACACCCCCAACAACTATCACGTTGTTTTGTAAAATTGATGTAATAGACTTAAAACAGCCTTGTATGTAAATAGTTTCACTTCTTAATGTTTCCGACTACAAAATAAAGAGATAAAACATCAAAATTTATGACAATGGATGTAGTTTTATAAATAAAGTATACCCTATTGATAAAAAAAATTGTTGTCCAAAACATTTCAACATGAAAACGAATTGCTAGAGCACTAATTCAATACCATGTTTTTTATAGAAATATTAGTTTCAATTCATTTTTGGGTATTTTATTGAAGTAAGCAAGTTTCATCTTCAGTCGCACAAATTCGACCGCGTGGCACCTTTATCCAACTTTACATATGATTTGTTCTATACTAGTGGCAAGGACTTAAAAAAACGAAAATAAACCACCTAAATACCGTGACTTACCGTAGTTGACTTTTGCATACCTCTTCCACAGAGATAATTTATAAGTCCATTCTGTAATATAAGAAAATACCTTGATAGAAAATAAATAACCATGACAGATATGATACATTAATGCATGTTAAATGACTGTAAGTTGTAATGAATGCAAGAATTATGAAAAAGAGTAAAATATGTTAATTAATACTAAATTTTAATCAAAATTACCTTGGTAACAAGAGGGGTGGGTAGGAGTGTGCATTGACCGTTTCTTTCAATTTTAAGAATATACCGGGATTATATTGTATTAGTTTAATTTACCTTAAAGTGACATTATGCCCATCGAAGTAAGTAAACAAATAGGTATACCTTTAATTTACTTCACACGAACGATGAATTAGACAAACAGAATAATGCAAAAAATGAATTATTTGCATTTTGAACATCAGAATCAAAAGTTATTGCACATACAAAATTGTGTTCCCACTGAAACTGTCAATACCCATTGGGATTTACCTGTTACATTCAATTTATAAAGAAATGTATATTTAAGGCAGATCTATATCTTATCTTTATCAACTGTTGGTCAGTCAATTACTATTATAACAGTCAATCTTTTGAAATATTTACTCAATTCAGCTCAACATGACAATTTAAAAAATGAGGATAATGTTACTTTAAAGAGTGTTTTTTCGTACAATTCAAGTATAATATTAAAGACTGTCCTGCTCTTATTTTCTTATTTCTTTAAAGATTTTTTTCAAGACATGTGTTTAGCAACAATATATATTTTTTATGCGATATAACATTATAGAGACAGACATGCTACAGAATAATGATGACACACGTTGTTTTCTTGAGAATAGGGAGAGTATTACTTATATAACTATATAAATTAATAATACATACATTTTCCTTTTTACAGCAAGAGAATGGCACGGAACAAAATTCCCCAAAATCGCTTGTTTCTAATTCTGTAGAACAATTAAAATATGGATTTCTTGCCCAATCTTTATAACCAATATCATCATTAGATGTACCACAACACTCGAGCTGAAATGGAAGTGTTTTTTTTTTCAAAATTTTAATAGTTTTGTTGCTTTTTATGTGTTGTCATTTAAGTTATAAAATTTGTTTATCATAAAATACATAGAAAAGTGACATCAATGTCAAAAAAGCGCACGATCAGTTTTACTATAATCTTTAAGCAAATTAAATTCATTTCTATATTTTAAGGTTAACGATGCTCGCTATTTTATGTATTTTACATATTTTACGATGAAAGTTAAAAGTATAACAGATATTATTATGTTACACCTTCTCACATGAATTAACTGGTTTATCAGTAACCCAGGAAAAACTGAGTATGTAATGTTCATTCATTCTTTTTATCATTTTGTTTTCATTGCTTCCGAGGGACTCCATTTTTTCAGATTTTTGTAGGCTGCGAAATAGAACAGCGATATAAGACAAGAGCGATCAGTGATCACATGTGTCGCCTCATGATGGCCAATTTCATGATGGGACAAGTTTTGTGACAGACGGACAGACAGACGGACAGTGCACAACTAGACTTGATACTGATCATTCTTGTAAAGTTTGGATAAAATTGCACCAGTAGTTTATGAGGAGTAGTCCAGACAAGCTTTTGTGTATCTGGAAACACACAGAAAAAACACCTTTTTATCAAAGGGCCATAACTCGGCCAAAAATCATTCAACCGGAAAACCCGTGCAATAGTGGCAAGGACTTGAGCTCCAGATCAATCCTGTAAAGTTTCATTGAAATTGCATTAGTGGTGTAAGAGAAGTAGTCCGGACAAACTTTAAAAATAAAAATTATTAAAGGGCCATAACTCTGACAAAAATCATTGAACCGGAAAATGCTGACAATATCCACAACTAGACTTGGTACTGATCAGTCCTGTAAAGTTTGGATGAAGTTGCACCGGTAGTTTATGAGGAGTAGTCCGGACAAGTTTTGTGACAGACGGACGGACAGACAGACAGACAGACAGACAGACAGACGGACAGACAGACGACGGAGAAGTGATCCCTATATGTCGCCACTACTCCGTAGAGGCGACACAAAAATCGGCCCTCGTGGTCAATTCCTACACATTTGTGATGTGCCGAGTGGTTAACGCATCGGACTAGTAATCTAAGGATTGATGTCCGCGTAGGTTCATACCCCGTCAGCGGCAAGCCCTTGTTTCCTTGAGCAAGAAACTTTACATTCAATTTTCAGTACTGGTTGGTTCTAGGAACGGATTCGAGAGTGTTTCAATAAGCTTATAGCACAATCGAAGTAAAATAAATTTGTATAAACTTAACTAATTTCTACACATCAAACCTCCAAACCGGTGTTTAATAGCTGATAAACACCACTGAGACCGATGATATTTCTAAACAAAATTATTAATTAACTAACCAGTTCTTGTATGCCGTCAATAAGGTTCTGCATGTCCTCATCATCTCTGTATTTTACAATGGCTTCTTTCAGAGAGTCCTCTGGGTATATATTGAGCTGGTTCCGGGACTCGGGAACGTAAACTATCACGAATATCAGCACAATAAACACCATCTCAACGAAAAACAGGAACATCATGATGTATCGATACTGAAATATACGTCATATAAATATCGATATAAACACCATAAAAACATAAACATCGTGATGTATCGATACTGAAATATTCGTCACAAAAAAATATATATATAAACACCATCTCCATGAAAAACAGAAACATCATGATGTATCGATACTGTAATATAAATATCGATATAAACACCAACTCCACAAAAAAGAAATATGATGATGTATCGATACTGAAATATAAGTCACATAAATATCGATATAAAAACCGCGCAGTCTGATCAGGATCCATGCTGTTCGCTTACCAAAACCTATAACCAGTAGAAACTGATAGCGAACAGCATTGTAACACCGCACTTTGGGGTCAAACGCACTTTGGGGTCCGACCCCAAAGTGCGTTACGTACTTTGGGGTCCAACCCCAAAGTGCGTTACGCACTTTGGGGTCTAATTTCGACTCCAAAGTGCGTTAAACATGTACATATGCATTTTTTAACATCAGGCAAACGACCGCACTTTGGGGTCAGAGAAAATTTATGTTCATTATGTTTTAAATAATATAGTGTAGTCAAAACCAATGGTAAACAAAAAATCAAGGTATTAAATAGACACAAAACATGTGCCCTGAATCAATAGGGATTTAAATGGTCTTGATTAGTAAGTGAAGAACTTTCACTAAATAAATCACCAAGTAAAGAATTTGTATCAATTATTAAGCTTAAAATATGTTTTTCTCAAATTTTCAATTTATTTTAAAAGTATGTACACCTTTCATTAACTCCATTGTATTTAGCTTAATGCATCATTTTCCCGTTTGTTATTTACACTTTTTACAGAAATATGATAGTCTTAGCATAGACAAAGGTATAAATTCTGGGTAATCTTAGTAAGACATTTCAGTAAAAAAATTGCCTGATAATATGTTAAAATAGCCATTTATTTAGCTAAATGTGACACATAAGAAACTTGACTAGGTGTAGGCAGTACTAAAATATCAACTATTTAAGTAGTCGCACATTAAGAGCGGAGCTTCAGAATAATGTAAAATTCTCACTGGGGGTATAGAGGGGAGTGTGGGGTATCGATCCCCCCGAGGGTTAAAAATAACATTTTAAAGGCCCATTATGCTTTTATTTGTTTTTCTTAAAAGCTGTTTTATTTTGATGTTCTTTTATATTATGAAAAATACACATTGGTCAATTACCTGAACCATCCTTTTCATCTGTTGCTTTTTGACAATGATGAGTACAGTTATAGTGAATAAGTATTTTATATGGAAATACTACATTGTTTTGACTATTTTTATGAAAAATAATTTCACATTTATCGCTACTTTATTCATGTAACAAGCATCTTACATTTCTCTGATACCATTATTTTAACATTATAAAATTCATGTTTGGTCTTTCTAAAGAAGTATGTAAGATTTCCTATTAAAAAAGCCTCTGGCGAACGGTTGTTACGGAGCTTACAAAAACCCTTTTAAGTGTGTTGATAAGCTTAATAATGTATTTGTAAAAATCACTATTTATAGTCCGATCGAAAAACTTGATGTTTCACCAGAACATTGCAATAGAGTATATTTATAGTTCTTTGGAAAAAAAATATTAACTGCATTTTATTTAATTCCCAACAAATTTAAAAAGGGGCTCAACATGGCACCAAAAGCTATCAAGTAAAATTTCTAATGACTGACAGAACGGGATATTTTTCGCAGGATCTTTTATCTTTAGGAATACACAATTTCTGTACTAGAGTATTTTGAACGGTGGCGTAAAAGGGACATTTGCAACTTTTTTTGTTTTTGATACTTTTTTTGTTTTTGTTTTTTTTCGTACATATTTTTGGGGTTTTTTTGTTTGTCGTACCACGGGTTTATAATATAAATCCGTGGTCGTACATATTTTTTTTTCTAGTTTTGAATACATACTTTTTTTAGTTTTGCATACATATTCTTTTTTAGTTTTGCATACAAATTCTTTTTTAGTTTTGCATACATATTCTTTTTTAGTTTTGCATACATATTTTATTTGAGTTTTTTGTACATATTTTATTTTTTGTTTTGTTTTTTACTTTTTTCGTACAAATTTTTACATGACGCCATTTGCAAAGTAGAGGTTTGGATAATTACGCCATTTGTAAAAAACCAGTTTCAAACACTTCGCCATCTGTAAATTACAGTACCCCATTTGCTAACGCAATTTGCAAATACCAATATTATCATTTTTGGAGGTATCAAAAAGATAACAACACTTTTTAGTATATATACATCTATATACATGACGTATATATATTGTTTTCTCAATCAGTGAAATAAAACGACATATTTAGATCTTTTATTGTGCATTATTGTCATTTGTAACCACCTCCCTTGCCCCTAGGGGGAGTGCGGGTTAAAAAGGAATCGTGTTTTGATGTCTGCACTGTTCCGGGGCATAAGGCAGGAATGTTATTATCAGAATATCCCCCGCAGGGCAAAGATTTTACCAGTGGTCGGCTTGGTTTAAAGTCAATGCCCCCGCTATTCTCAGGGAGTGGGGTTGAGTGGTGCATATTCATGGAATAATAACCAATCAACAGCCCTTTCCAAATAGACACTACTATAATAGCATATAATAATTAAATCAAAGCACAGAAGGCGCTGAATTTGTTTGGGTCTCAGAATGTAAGAAAGGTGCAGGTTGTGAGATTATATGTATAGTGCCACCAATGCTTTCCAGCGTTTTAATTGTAGTAAATTGGCTATAAGACTAATTGCAACACTGATATTCGATCCAATGTTTATTTGACTTAAACAATTTGAAAAAAATGAGTTACCTTTACTGGGATTTAAACTCCAGACCTCTCGCTTCCTAAGCGAGCCCGAAAACCCTTCAGCCACGGTGAATTTATATGTGAACGGCCTGAAGAAAACCATATTATTCTAAATTAGGGCTTGTAACGACTTTAACTGTTGTTTAACACAGATGTAAATAATCCTGGAGCTTACTATAAGCATGTATATTTATAAAGAATCAAAGGGCTGCAAGTTCTGTGGTATTTTCTGATCTTTGCAACCTAAATCGTACTGTATATCTATATGCATTTTCCCGTATAAGTTTATTTTTTATGTATTATAATTCATTTTGCAAGGCACCAGAGTTTGATACATACGGAATTCTGCATAACTAGAGTTGCATCAAAAAATCATTTATGTTCATTTTTTTACGACAGCCACACTTTATCCTTGCGTATCATGGCTACTTCCTTAACAAAGACACTTAAAAAAGAATTTAACAAAAAAAAAGTTTCCTCGACTGGGATTTGAACTCGAGACCTCTCACTCACTAAGCGAGCGCGTTACCCCTGTACCACGGAGAAGTTATACAAACAATGTCTGAATAACATCAAGTCATTCTAAATTTAGAACTTCCATTGCATTTCGGGTTTGTAATCCTTATTAATTTCGAGGTATTTTGTTCAGGATAAACCTGTTGTTTAAAATTGACGTAAATATTTTAGCGAAAATCTTCTCGCCCAAACAGTCCGACATGTAGAATCTATATATTCCACTACTCGGTTTGTGTAGTATTCGGTAATATAGTATTTTCATTGATAAAATTATATTCATCCGCGTAATTTGTGATTGCGCATTTATTGACAATTCTATAAGCCAACGCTATTTTTAAACTTTGAATGCGTTGTAATTTGTTGGATACTTGTAACAAAATAAAAATATTTCTTTCTTTTAAATCGCTAGTTTTAAGCTGTTTTGAGAACTACTTGTTGTTAGGTTTGTCGTAAACTTCTGTGTCAGAGATTGAATGTCCGCTTTGTATTTACTTATTTTCGATCAGAAAATACAATAAAAGACTATTAGAAATCTTTGACCATTCGGGAATTACTTTGCTTGAAAATAAAGGCGCCTGTCTTTGACCATCTTTACGCAGTGATCTCCCCTGAATTTTTCGGCGTTAGTCTACATACAAAAGGGAAGTAACCGCTTCAAAAAGTGGACTACTTTCGGCATTTGCAATTAACAACATTAGACTCTGAAATTTCGCTACCATTATTTGTTTGGTCTGAAGACCCAAACAAATAAAAACAATAATTATATAAAATACATATGATTTAAAAAATGGACCGAAAAAGGTCGGGCGAAACCAGACTTGCGCGGCCAAAAACGACTGGACCGATTCCAGAAATGGGCCGAAATGTGACCAAACCACTGCGCTAGTTTTACACTCAACTATGGACTGTTATGAGATGTGAAGGCTGTTTTGTTGGCTAAAATATGTACGAAAAAATAAAATATATACGAAAATCTACAATAAAATATGAATGCAAAACCCAAAAAAACTTAAATAAAAATATGTATGCAAAACTTAAATAAAAAAAACAACAAATGTCACTTTTATGCCACCGTAATTTTGTGAACACAATTTTTGGATATTTCAAGTGGTAAAATTAATGAAACTTTTATCACTTAAGCATCACCAAAGTATTGACCGCCATCTTGAAATCCACCTTAAATATTACCATGTCGCAGATCAAAAATAAGTCAGTTCTCAGTATTTAAGCATAACTCAGATTACACCTTTAGACCTCTGGAACCCAAAGTGCGTTGATATGTAGCATATTAACGCACTTTGGGGTCAATTTCTCGATTTTGACCCCAAAGTGCGTTTAACCCCAAAGTGCGGTGCGAAGTTTAACGCACTTTGGGGTCGGACCCCAAAGTGCGTTTGACCCCAAAGTGCGGTGTTACAAAGCATGGATCCTGATCAGACTGCGCGGATGCGCAGGTTGGTCTGCATCCATGCTGGTCGCAAAACCATTATGTTGGTTTTGCCATGCGCGGCTCAATTACATAATTCTTATTTGAAAAGACTATTATTCAACGTTATTAGGATCTTCAATATATAAAACATGCATATCGATAATGTAATACTCACAATAATCGATATGTTTAAAAGGCGATGTCTGAAGTCCTTTATAATGTTAAGCGATAAATCGATACCAACATTAGCGTCTGAAAATAATTTTATCCATATGAATCTGATAAATAGTTAATTTAATCACAAACACAACTATTTTAACTCACAAAGTTTATTTGTAACAATCAACTATAATACTCACGATGGCCAGAAAGAATACATATTCCCTGAGAGAGCCATACCAGCCGAAGAAAGACACGACGAACGCCACGGAACCGGCCAGGCAGAGGACACAGGCTGGATCCAAAAAGAAGTCATAGGCGTTAAGCACTGCCTTTTCCTTTTCAACCAAAATCCATGCCATTAATCCAGTCACCGCTCCACATACTAACTGAAAATTGAAAGTAATGAAAAACACAGGTTATGTTTTCATAAGTAAGTGAGTGTTGATTATTGAAATAATTTTTTACAAGGTATGTTGGAGCCTTTTTCGACAAAAACACACATCTCTTGTCATAGATTAGTCCTGTTTAAATATAAAAAATAAGAAGCACTTTTTAAAGAGTTAAAGTATAGGTTATAATCAACTCCAATCAATCAATTAATCAACTTCGATCAATCAATTATGAATTCAGTCAATAAAATATTCACAATACTCTCTTGAAATAAGTCAGCATAACACATAAGGTGGAATGAAATTACTTGTATTAAAGTAACAGCACAGATCTCTCTGAGAGTGAGCTTTGGCAATTCCAACAATGTATAGATATTGATAAGTATTTGACAATAAACTATCTATATTGGCAACTGGCAACAATGTTTTAATGACGAAAGTTCTACATACATTTTATAAATATATGTTAAACATACATATCAATAATCAAGTATAGGTATAAAATATACTAAAGCTATCACAAAATTACATTTAACTTTAAAAACAATTATCTTTGATTATTTCTTCTTGTCTTGGTTTTCCATTCACAAATACTGTGTAAATATAATACGGTGAACACACTGGTGTAAGAAGACCCAAAACGTTCCTCCAGTACATTATATGTGACAGGTGTTGGCACGTGAATTGAATAACCAATGTTCTATAAGGTAACCATTATGATCTAATTGTCCTTGGTGGGATTTAAACCAACCTTAAAGGCACACTTATGTCTTAGAATCGAAATAAATTTGAGTCGTGTCATGACAAAACCAACATAATGGGTTTGCGACCAGCATGGATCCAGACCAGCCTGCGCATCCGCGCAGTCTGATCAGGATCCATGCTGTTCGCTTATCAACACTATAACAAGTAGAGAAACTGATAGCGAACAGCATGGATCCTGATCAGACTGCGCAGATGCGCAGGCTGGTCTGGATCCATGCTGGTCGCAAACCCATTATGTTGGTTTTGTCGTGACGCGGCTCATTTTCATTTTAAAGAAACGGCAAACATAAAGTTATAATGTTTAAAAGTGGTTTACAATAATGTTAAATGCCTATCATCTAAATTATGGATTTTAAATGTGAAAATATGTGTTTAAAAGTAGCACAGTGTAAACAACGTAGCATTTTGACTTTCACACTAAATACTTTAGTACTTAACTATATCTATAGTAATTCTCGAAAAGCCATAGAAGAAAAGGATGGTTCAGGTAATTGACCAATGAGTAACTTATTTGTTTTACAGGAATACAAAAAAGAAGATTTTTTAAGAAATAAAAATAAAAGTATTTCTGGGGCAATATGGACCTTTACACCAACCTGAATCATTTTGTTTGAGCATCAGAGGATATGTTGAACAAAAAAATGTTGAATTCATAAAGGTCATTAATGTGTGATTCCATTGAAATTACCTTAGCATTGAAAGTCAGGCAAATTAATACATTGTGTGTTGTATATCTATAAGTAATCATGTATTGTCGAGTTTATTTTAAAACGTGTCAACACCTCATCAGGTCTAAAATACCAATCGAACATGTTTGCCTCGTTCAAAGATTAAAATATTCTTAATTTAATTATATACGAATACGAAAATTTTATTCAGCATTAAACATGTTTAAACAATGTTTATAGCCTATACAAATTCTATTGTACAGTGTGAACAAAAAACATAGAAGAAAGAAAAGCAAACAACAAAATGCATTTTTTACATAATAAATTATACAGTTATCAGAAGAGATTGTTTAATGAAACATTATTCTGAAAAAAAGTATCATGATTATGTAAAGTCGAATAAACATGTAAATGTATCATTACATATATATAACCCTATTGAAATATTAACAATATTTACGTGATTCTAATGAAAAAAAATTACACAATTCTTCTTTTATTTGCAAAGTAAACAAATTTAGCTAAATTCAATAAATCTTTTGTAGAGTTTGTTGACATGAGAGCCCTAAATTTATTCAAAGTCGGCCACTGGCAGTAATAGCGTTTAAAATATTTATTTCTCAAATCTCTAAAATGTGGACAGACCATCAAAAAATGGTATTCATTTTCGACCATTGACATATTACATGATTTACAAAGTCTTTGTTCCCTTGGGATATTATAGTATCTACCGGTTTCGATATATAGATTATGAGAGGACATGCGAAATCTGGATAATGTATTTCTTAATTTGTAATCAGAAATCACCGAAAGATATTTTTCACGGTCAAAACTATGTTTAAAAATGCAATATGACTGGAGTCGACTGGAATTATTAATATCTGCATACCATTTTTGTAAATAGTTATCTAAGATTCTTTGTTTGATAGCAGAAAGGGGAATATCATTTTCATTTTGATTTTGATTTTGCCAAACATACAGAAATCCAAGTTCTGATAGGAACTTTTTGATTTGAAACGCCCAGTTATTTCCTCTATACGTTATATTGGAATCAGCGTCTGCTTTTAATAGTAAATAAGCTTTCTTCACTAGAGACGAATCTTCTTGTTTTAACTATTTTAACCCAAATATTTAATCATTGTTATTTTGCGATATATAGATAAAGGGTAACGTCCTAATTCCCCATAAAGTGCTAATAAATTTGTTGATTTTTTCACCCCTAAGACCCTACGCAGAAATTTTGTATGAATTGCTTCAACAGCTGTAGCGTCATGGTTTCCCCAAATTTCTGCACCAAAATTTAAAATAGATCCGACAAGCGAGTCAAACAGCTTACACTTTTGAGAAATAGGTAACTCTATATCATTAAAAATTGAGAAAAGGTTATGTAGTGCGTACGATGCATGTTGAGCTATTTTCTTTTGACTTCTGAACCAATTTCCGTTTTTAAAAAGGGTTAAACCCAAATATTTGAACGTTTCAACAATCTCAATTTTTGTATTATAGATGAAAAAATCATACTGTGTATGATGACGTCCTTTCTCAAAAACCATTGCCTTGGTCTTTGATGTATTGATTTTCATATTCCACCTTGTGCAATAATTTTCAACATCTTTAAGCATAGATTGTAATGATGTCGGCGACTTTGCAAACAGAACCTGGTCGTCGGTAAAAAGGATTAAAAATAGTTTGAGCTCGTTTACAGTAAATAAACCATCTAAATTTGTATTAATGTTATCAATAATGTCATTTGCGAATAGCATGAACAGCAGAGGAGAACTGGGGTCTCCTTGCTTCAAACCGAGGTTCGAGTCGAAAAATTCCGAAAATTTGCCATTATATCTAACACACGACGTAACAGTCTTATACATTGACTTAATAGCCTTAACAAATTTACAACTCACATTTTCCATTAAAAGTTTTTTCCATAGAAAAGACCTATCAATTTTGTCAAAGCATTTTTCGTAGTCAATAAATACACTGTATAGTTTCTCTCCATTTTCTAGAACTTTTAAAACAACTGAATGAAAAATAAACAGACAGTCAACAACCGACTTCCCTTTTTGGAATCCAAACTGATTTTTTGATATCTTTTCGTTTTTTTCTGTCCATTTCGTTAATCTGTTTAATAAAATTTGGGAGTAGATTTTGGCTATTACGTTTATTAGCGTAATACCGCGGTAATTCTTTGGGTCGTTTATATCGCCCTTTTTAAATATTGGTGTTATAATGCCTTTACCCCACGATTCCGGATATTCGCTGTATTTAAACAATCTATTATAAAGATTTAATAAAAGAGGCGACAGAATATCGTATGCTGCTTTAAATATTTCAGCCGTAAGACCATCGATACCAGCGGATTTATTATTATTTTGCATAAATACAGCGGAATGAAGCTCCGTTTCCATAATTTCGCAGTTAAGATCGTCGTCTGAAAGTACATATTGATCCAGATTTGGCTCTTCTGACTCTATGGACGCGTTTTCACCAAATAATTCTTTAAAATTCTCGACTGTTAAATTTTTCGCTAATTCTTGTTTACGTTTATAACTTTTTTTAACATTTTTCCAGAATTGCCGCGGCTGTTTATTTGCTAGTTCTGAGATTCGTTTACCTTCGTTTATTTTGAATTTTCTTTTTGCAGCCTTTTTTATTTTGTTATAATATTGACGCGAATGAATGAAAGCAAGTCTATTTTCTTCATTTTTTTGTCTAATAAATGCATTGCGCGTTATTTTGAATGATTTTCGCGCATTAAAGCATTCTGTGTCAAACCATTTATTTTTTGGATACCGAGAATATTTATCTTTCACACAATCGGATTTACCAAATACGTTATATGCGTTTGTAGATAACAATTCATTCAGTTCGTGTATCACGTGATCAATCGGATGAACGCGCGAAATAATTTCGTCGTTTAATCGTTGAAGCAAATCATTACTATTAATAAGACAAGTCCTAAATTGGGGTACTTTATTTTCATCCCAAACTAGCCTTGGTTCGCGACGTATATTTTCAGCCGTACTTTCTACATTTGAATGATCTTTTATGACAATGCTGAAAAAAACTGGTGCATGATCAGAGTGTTCATTAAAATCTTGAATGGCAAAATGTTTTACATATTTAAAATCAATATATTGTAACAATAAATAGTCAACGGTGCTACTACCCTTATTGGAGCAAAACGTAATATCACCCTTTTTTTGGTCCCCACAAAGGCGGCCGTTCGCTATGAGAAAACCAGTCGATTTACATGTGTTTAGCAGACGGTGTCCGTAGCAATCGACCACGTGGTCTTGATTTGCACGTGCCGTGATGTCATTTTGGAAAATATAGGACATATTTCGATCTAAATACTTATCGAATACAATGAAATCATCTAAATTGGAAGTACGACTATTGAAGTCACCAGAAATAAACACTTTTCCTAGTGAAGAGTACTTAAGAATATCAATTTCTAATTGATCAAAAAAATCAAAATCTATACAACTAGTTACTTTTGAGTCAATTGGTGGTATATATAGATGACAAATATATACATCTTGTTCAAATGGAAATAAATCA